ATATACAGTTGAAGTCAGAATTATTAGCCCCCCTTTGAATTTTTTTTTTTTAATATTTACCAAATGATGTTTAACAGAGCAAGGAAATTTTCACAGTATGTCTGATAATATATTGTCTTCTGGAGAAAGTCTTATTTGTTTTATTTCGGCTAGAATAAAAGCAGTTTTTAATTTTTAAAATCAAATTTTAAGGTCAAAGTTATTAGCCCCTTTAAGCTAACTTTTTTTCGATAGTCTACAGAACAAATCATCGTTATACAATTACTTGCCTAATTACCCTAACCTGCCTAGTTAACCTAATTAACCTAGTTAACCCTTTAAGTGTCACTTTAAGCTGTATAGAAGTGTCTTTGAAAAATATCTAGTCAAATATTATTTACTGTCATGGTGGCAAAGACAGAATAAAACCATTATTAGAAATAGGTTATTAAAACTATTATGTTTAGAAATATGTTGAAAAAATATTCAGGGCGCTAATAATTCTGACTTCAACTGTATATCTGTATGTCTGTCTATCTATCCATCTGTCTGTCTGTCTTTGACTGTAAATCTGTGTATGTCTATATATCTGTCTGTCTGTCTGTATATCCATCAATTTATCTGTCTAATAGTAATACTAATAATAATCCTAATGGTAAGCTGATGATGTTCTCTGTTTTGTCCATCAGGCTGGTTTAGACAGAATGTCTCAAGGACACATGCTTGCTGATGTGGTGGCGATCATCGGTAAGATGGACGTTTTCACACTGTAGTTGTTAGAAATCACACTTCTGTTTCCTGGTATCTGTTTTTCAACTCATTTTTTAAAATCTATGATGAAGAACTGCTTCCTCGTAATGATATATATATAAACATGCAGTATTGTTGATGAGGAGAAAAGCAAGAATACAATAGAGTTGAGAATAAAAGCTTCAAAAAATTTCAATCAAAATCTCTGTTGTAGAGAAAAGGTGGCAAAATATCACAGACTGTTTTAACAAGAACATTTTTTTTTGACTGAATCTGTCATTAATCAATGTCAGTGATAAACTGTAATAAATCCAAACGTTGATCTCGACTAGTGTTTGCGATTTGTGGTCGGAGAGCAGATTTCTCTGATGAATTTCATAGTTTTATTTTTGGAGCAATGTTTTCTGTTTAGCAATTGTCATTAAGTGGTACTGCAAGTGCGTTCATTTATATAAGCAGATAATAAAATAGAAAAAGTATTAGATGAAAATAAACCACACACAAGTGTACTCTCTTCATTTGTGCTTCTAGGTGAAATACATTTCTCAAATCAAAAAAAAAAAAAATATATATATATATATATATATATATATATATATATATATATATATATATATATATATATATATATATATATTGGTAAATAATTGTAATCGGGGCTTGACATTAACTTTTTTTATGTCTACTGTGCCTTGTAGTTTTCCAAGGTTACTAGTCACTCGCCATTTTCACTAGCACAATTTTGTTGTGGGGAAAATATATTTTATATGTATAAATTTGAATGCTAAAATTACTTGATTTAAATTGTGTCCACATGCCTCTATTCATTTAGCCTTTTTGTGGGTCGTGTATGACCTTGATCAGTGAAGATGAGCTAATGGGTTGTGGTTTCATCGTGTCGCATTGCATTTAGTTTTTATTTCACATGATTTTTCAGGGCTAGATGCTGAGTATTTATCAAATATTTATTTTAAAAGATTATTTCTTCACCACAAATTTCAAATGTGTCAAAACAAAGAAAAAATAGCTGAATTTATACACATTTTATTTAACAAAAATGTTCTTTAACAAAACAATTGACATTTAAAAAAAAAATTACGGCCATGTTGCCCATCTAAATCTAAAACTATGCACAGGTCCCAGGTCACCAGTTAACTCTTCATAAATTAAGTTAATCTCCTATTAGAGTAATGTGATTGTAAATGATTATAATGAAACCATGTCACCAAATATAACTAAGCAAAAGAAAGCAGATGAAAATCTTATTATGTGCAGTAGTGAAAAGGATTACAAATTTATACATGTTAGCCAACGTGTCTCACCATGCGCGTGATCATCCTCTCATTCTGTATTCACCTGCTTTCTTTTGCTGCTTCTCAATTCTAAACTAGCTTAAAAAGTTGTTTTCAACCAGTCAAAGTGGTTAGTGGGAGTGGCTGTCTAACCTGCAGCAGCTGAAATCTACCTGTGTATTAAGCTGTTGTCACACTGGGCTTTTCCTCCCATAGACTTCCATTCTAACGCACGCGAATGCGTCAGACCGGAAACACAGGGTCATGCGTCAAATTTCGCAGGCTGCTGCGGTGCAAAGTTCAAGCTTGGTAAACTCTGACCTGCGAAATCGCATCTCTTGACTGCGCGAGACTAATCAAGGATCAAAAAATGACATCTCTGGACCGAAATTTAAAACATGGAGCAATCGCTCGCTTTATAAAATGTAATTAATAAACTTGTTTAATCCCGCCCCTTTTCTCAGCGCCGCACGACAGAATATCGCATGCTCAAACTCTAATGTAACCGCAGCTTTAATGTCAAGCACTGATTGTGATTAACTAATGAACTGTTTGCTGCATTAACTACATGTAAAATGTGTTTCACCGACTAAAATAGGCCAAAGCCAGGACAAGGATAACTAAACATAATAACTAAAGTTATTTCCTCCTTTCTCCCTGAAATTAAGCTCTACATTCTCACTATATAATTTTGGTGTCTGCACAAAAATACATTTATAAAATATGCTAAAAGACCTGCGTGCACTTTAACATTTCTAATAACAAATGTGTTTATGTAAATATTCACTAGCTTTTTAAACCTGTACTTGAGAAATTATATGACATATCCTACTAAGTTTATCACATTTATCATATCATATACAATACTCTTTGCAGAGCAGTGGGTAAAACCTGTTGTTGCTTAAATGACAGTTGTTGGAGGTATAAATGGAAAATCTTTTTAAAATTTCATCAAATAATTCTTGTTCTAAATATGCAAATGTTTTAGTATCTAAACTATTATAAATTTTGTAAATATTTGTAAAAAAAAAAAAAAAAATTTAATTTGCTGAAAAATAAAAACTAAGTTTAAGATCTGTTTTATATTTGTTGTTTGAAAACATTAGTATTTGACACATGAACTAGAAAAATGATCAAGTATCAAACATTATACTCAACAAAACTTCCATAATTCATTTTTTTAAATGTTGTTTTTTAAAAAAAAATAGATTGAAATAAAACTAAACAATTTAGGCTTTCAGGAGTTAATTGTCTTAATTTAAATTAGATATGAAAAAAGTGCAAGTTAACTTTAAAAAAGAAACCCATTAAAACAACTATTTTATTAGCTTTTTGCTTTTAATCAAACATGTTTAAATGTTCTTTTTTAAATAATAAAAATAGATAGAAATAAAACAAAACAATAATTTAGACTTTAGGTTAAATGGGTTAAATGTCTTAATTTAAATTAGATATGAAAAAAAGTACAAGTTAAAAATTAAACCAATTTAAACAGCTATATTTTGTTGTTTAATTAGCTTTATGCAACCTTTCATAATTAAAAAATGTTTAAATGTTCTTTTTTAAAATAATAAAATCAGATAGGAATAAAAATAACAATAATTTAGGCTTTAAAGGGTTCAATATCTTAAATGTTATATTAAATATAAAAAAGTACAACTTTAAAAAAATAAACCCACTAAACACCTATATAATTTGTTTCATTAGCTCTATGCAAACTTTCATAATTAAACAATGTTTAAAAAAATAAAAATAGATAGCAATAAAATATATATATAAAGTAGGGCTGCACAATATTGGAAAAGCAGATTGCCGTATTTTTACTTTCTGTGATTTATGTTGCAATAATTCATCAAATAACTTGAATGGTGCTATTTTGAAATAATTTATGCATTTATTTTGAATGGGAAGATTTAGCAGAGGAGAGCATTTTCAGGAAATATAATAGACTAATTGGCAGCATAGATATATACTGTAGAGCAACGGTATAAATGAACAATATTCAGGTACAGAAATAAAATAATCAGACGAACAATAAAGTTGCATAGTCTTCATTATAAACATTATTAAATAAAATGATCTTTTAATCTACAAAATGCAATAAATCCTTGTGCCCAAATGCATTAAGCTCATTTAAAATGCGTACAGTTACATACCTTACAACACACAACTAATAAACGTTCTCATTTTTATGGTTAAACTGAAATGACTCCACTATTGTACCTGCTTAACTATAATCCTGACTATAATCCACATTACAGATCCTGCGCTGTGAATATTCTGCTTTCACACATTGCAATATCAATGCTAAAACGATGTATTGTTCAGCCCTACTTTTAAGGGTTAAATGTGTCATGTTAAATTAGCTGTTTAAATGTCTTTAATTTCATTTTAGATCTATCTTTTGTTCTTTTATTATCAATCTAATATTTCCATCTGTTTTCTCTTCCCGCAGGCACTCAGGACATCGTGTTCGGTGAAGTGGACCGTTAAAGACGACAATGGCTGATCCTCCTTCTGTCTTTAATCCATTCTAGTGATATCACGACAGACCTTTCTCTCATTTCTCTATGTAAACACTTCTGAAACCTAAATAAATATTTTAAAACTTGAAAAGAAAAGAGCCTTCTCTGTTTCATTAAGTGCAGCTTTTATAACGTGACCCACAAACATGGCAACATTGCCATCGCTCCAATACACCATTCTGTTCTTATGCCTACAAACTTTCTCACAGATTATCATTGTGTATATTTTAAAGAATCATATAGTATAAAAGCTGATTCAGCATATTTAAGCATCAGCGTAATATAAATAAAAGATAACTCAGCTTTTTTCTCCTGCTTCCTGTTCGTCACTCGAGTGGGGGAGGTCTAAAACTTCAATACGGACATCTTTTCACCACAACTTCCCTCTCTGTGTGTTCCTGTGATGTGCTTTTTGTCGTGCGTTCTTTGAGAGTTGTGTGTCCAGTAGCTCGAGCGAAGCCCAAGTGTGTGTTGTCTGTGGTGGTGCTGCTGCTGATGGTGGTGCTGATGAAGATCTTCTCTCTTCTGTCTCTCTGGTTTTTCGGCAGTGCTGGTGAGTTTTCTGTGCCATCGCTTTTTACAGCAACGAGGAATTAAATGCTGCTATAAAAATGACTGAATTGGAGAAAAACGATTTGGGTCAGAAATGAGTGTTTTCATGCTTAATATTGGAGTGTAGTGTATTACATTAACGATCATTTTTTCAGGTGGCGCCTGAAATGCTTTTCGATTTTGTTTTTAAATGTGTGTGTTTATATATTCATTCATATATAAATACAGTAGTCAAGTGGACCAGATCTTTTGGATAAAGTTGTCCTTAAACTATTAAGCATTTCCTTCTTGTCAGTTTTGAAAACGTATATAAGCTTCAAATATTGACGACTGCATATCGTACAAAATCCTTGTCTGAGTTTGTGATGGTTTAGTTTTTATTAATATTTATATTAGTTTTGTTTGTAAGCTGTTTAATATGTATGATATGTACACTGTTAATGCTGGCTTTCACACAATCCCTTCAATGTTGCTTCAACTCGGTTTTAAGTTGATGTGAACTCAGGTTGTACCCTAAAAATCTCAAGACGTGTGTTCTTTCAGCTCATTTTAAATAAGTAGTTTGAACAACCCCTAAAAATCGATGTATTTTTTGAGTGTATTTAATATGTGCCGTTAAAATGTGCTGCAGTTTGTGGCATTATTGTAGTCCGCGTTAATATTACAAATATTAATAGTATTAGGAAGACATTTATTTCCCTTAAAGTCAGATATATCTGCGTTTGATAGACATATCTGTGTTTACAATACACTAAAAAAAAGGACTTTTGCTACTATATATTTAAAATAAATTGAAACAACTCAATTCTTGAGGATTTTTGGGGACAACTTAAATATTTTATGTTTAGTCCACTTAAATTTGTAAAAATGATTAAGTTAACATAATCACTTTGTCTTGGGACAACATGAATTGTGTGCAAACCAGCATTTTCTACAGTGTAAAAGGATGCCTCTATCAACATTTTGCATTCGAGAAATGAAGTTTGCTGTTTGTTCAAATTACTTTCATAAAATAATTGAATCAACACAATTAAACGATCAACTTAATTGTTTTATGTTCAATCCACGTAAGTTCGTAAAAACAATTGAGTTAGCGTAATCACTGTGTTGGGACAACATGAAGGAATTGTGTGGAACCCAGCATTTTTAAGTGTATAAGGATGTCACTAAGAATTGTGTGTAATCAAAAACTGAAGTCTGCTGTTTGTTCAAACTACTTTGAACTACTAAAATGAGCTGAATCAACACAATTCTCCAGATATTTGAGGGGACAACTTAAATATTTTATGTTCAATCCACTTAAATTAGTAAAAACTAGTAAATTAACTTAATTCCATGATGTCTCACTGCCAACACAAATCAGTTGTGTGGAGCCCAGCACTTATCACAGTGTGTGGATTATATCTTTAACATTAAAGTATGCAATAATTCCATATTTTGAGGCTTTTATTTATTACTTATTTTACACTTTACAATAACATTTCCATTGTTTACAATAAAAATACTTTTAGTTTATTTTTCTTAAACCTTTAACTGCCCCAACAAGGAATAAAAAAATGTTTGCATTGCATTTCTTAACTGCTTATGTCCCTAGTTAACACACTTGATGCATTTTTCCCCTCAACACATCCCATAATCTAAAAAATATCAACCTCTGACAAATGGTTAATATTTCGGTTTATGTTAAAAGTACTGGAATAATATATCTACTATAAAAAAATGAGAAAATATGAAGTGTAAGATCAATTTATTTAAAAAACAATCAAAATCAAAGATTTTTGAACACTAAATCACCTTTATTTTTAGCTATAAAAACTGAAATCAAGTGTAGTAGTGCAACAGGATTAAATAGTTTTATTATTTTATAAAGCCACAATGCTGTGTAGCGTAAACTATTGTTAAAAAAAGTTATTCTTTAAAAATGGTCAACCATTTGGTAGTGCAGGCAGTTACAGGGTTAATGAAACTTCACACTAAGGTTTTAGTTGTTAACAAAAAGAAATACTTGTTTCTGTAGACGCCTTTTAAAATGTAACCCATTTAAAAATACAATGCATATTTTTGTAGCTTGCAGTAAGTAAAGTTGGTGATCTCTTTATAAACAAACCGTTAGAAGTCTATATTTGGTTTGTGTCTATACGTTTGGTCTCTGTTTCTTTTTTCGTCGAGTCGAGCCTTTTCTGAACATTGAAGTGGTGAAATGAAACTTTGTTGCCAGGAAGTCGTCTTTTTGCCATTCTGTAAACAAGGCTTGAATCAGGCAATATGACCCTTTACCTAACAACGGCTTGGCAAGTGTTTGAATTAACAAAACTAATGTTAAATGTTAATGTAAATGAGTGTGTTTTTCTTCTGTAAAAAATTAAATAAAATGTATGTGAAAATGGTGGCAGTGCTTAAATGCACAGTAGTTTCTCTTTGAGCTTTACTGGTCAGTGTTCACTTCTCTTTTGCCTCTAAGTGAAGATGCTGCAGTTTCCTTAAAATAAATAGAGACTTTTCCTCCTATTATTTCCTTTGCGTTTTATTGCATGGCTGTAATTTCCATAATGACCAAAAATTGTATTTGGTTAAAATAAAGGTTACTGACACCAAACATGTCATCAAGTTGCGCAAGATGAGAGGCAGAAATCATGCATCTTGATCTAAAAGAAAAAAAACTACATTAATTTTTTGTCAGAATGTTGCGCTATAGTGGGCTCATTAAACCTGCACCTTGTAAAACACATTAGTTGATGCTTGTCGTGCGTGGTCATGTGGTCACTCGAGTCTTCCATTTCCATGAAAAGAGAAGTAACACTTATTTTTTTCTTTTTTTGTTTGAAGGATCTGATACTGAGACGAAACGTGACCTCTCACAACTCAAAAAACCCATTACTGTTTCCTAAAAGTCTGATTTCGTTATCAACAGCTATGTTTTCTGTTTGTAATAGCAAAAGGTGCTATAGCTGGACACTGACTTGAGTTATGAAGTACAATATTTTCACAATTTGAAGTTGTGTTGGTGTTTTTTAATCATTTGAGGTTATTCAGAGTGTAAACAAAGTGATGTCAAAACTTTCATGCGTTTATTTCTTATTGAATAATTAAGTTGTTGTTATTATTATTATGACTAATTAATATGCGTTTATCTGCATTTTATCTACATTAATTAACAAACATCATCAAATAACTAATGCTTTGACACTAATAGCTCTAATAATGTGATGCATCAAATTTAATGAACCACAATCATTTATTAAGTGTAAACTGATCAGAATTAGACCCGCTGTACGCAGCAGTGACCTATAAAACTCAGACTGTTTCATTTCAGTTACACTTTACTAAAAGGTTCCAGTAGTTAATGAATGTATTTACTAACACGAACAGACAATGCATTTATTATTACTACAGTATTTATTCATCATTGTTAATGTTAATGAAAATAGTCAAGCATTGTTAGTTTTTGCTAACTCGCACGCTTGGACATTAATAAATGCATTTGAAAAATGTTAAAATGGACACACTAAAAACAAAAAAAGCTTTTATCACAACTTCTGTTGATCAAAACTAAGTTAATCATGTTTCAACTTTAATTTGTTTTAAATATATATTTTATTTAAGCTTTTTTTTTTCTTTTTTTTTTTAAATAAAAAACAATACAAAGGAAATCCACTGGTATAAACATAGAATTTTTTTTTAATTATTAGATATAAAAATAAAATATATTATTTACCAATCAAATCATTACTAATGTTTAAATGTCATTATCAGAGTGTGATCAATTGTTCAATAAATGGTTGGTATACCACTAATCAATTTTGAGGAAATCCAGAAAAGGTTGCCGTACCGTTTGAAATTGTTGCTGAAATTTTGGTTCCATGGAGCATAACAAACTTAACATTGTTATTTTTCTTTTTATCTATAATTTTTATAAGTTAAACAATTAAAAACTAAAGTTCAGATGTCCCAAGGTTAAGTTGATTTAACTTAAAAAATCTAAATCATTATTTTTTGTTTACAGTATATGAAGGATGATTACAAATTCTGCATAATTAATGTTTATTCTTAGTTCATGGGAGTACATTTATTAATTATTATTATTAAACATAGACATTTGCAGAGTTTCTAATTGTCGAAGAAGAACTTGTTGCTCAGTATGTTCAGTTTCTTCCCTTTTTTGCAGATGCGATGAGTCTGAGGGAGCCGCAGATCTGCTATATTTTGGACGCGGTGCTGTTTGTCTATGGGATTGTTCTCACTGTCCTGTACTGCAGAATGAAGGTACTCTAGATGTCCTCTAATCATGTCATTCACTCTGTTTTATCAAGTAATCATATTATCATTGTATATCATTGACTGTGTGTTGGACTCTCAAAGGCGAATTTCATAAATGTACTTACAATATAATACACAAATTGTAACAAATTATTTAGTTGATCAGATCACTTCACTGAAAATGTATTATATAAGTAGATGGCACTTTTTTTGACAGATGGTCTTTATTGTAAAACTGCAGGTTAACTTTGTACAGTATATAAAGTATACTCATTAACTCTTTCTGATCTCTTTTGATTGTAATTTAATAAAGTGCACATTTTGTACAGTAGTTAAGTTACTGTGAAAAGCAGTTGCAGTTTTTGTTTGTTTGTTTGTGTTTTGGTAACACTTTGCAATAAAGTCTCATTTAACATGAAATAAAACACTTGATTTTCTTTTTAATTAATATTAGTTAATTTTGATTAACACTTTTGCTTTTTATTTAAATATAAAACCGAAGCTACAATGATCTAATAATGAACTTAGCTTTGATTATTAACCAACATTAACAGATCAATAAATACGATAACCTTTAAATTTGACATTCTTAATGTTAGCCAATTCATTTTAATAATGCATTTATACATATTTAATGATTATTAAATAATGTTTACAAAGATTAGCATGCACTGAAACAATTAATGAAGACCAAATTATTATCCCTCCTGTAAAATTTCAATACTTTTTCAAATATTTCTCAAGTCGTCTCAACACATTCTTAAACAGTGTTTCTAATAGCTAATTTCTTTAGTTTTTGCCATGATGGCAGTAAATATTTTTTTACTAGCTACTCGTATTCAGCTTGAAGTGCAATTTAAAGGCTTAACTTGGTAAATTAGATTAATTAGGCAAGTCATTGGACAACAGTGGTTTGTTCTGTATCAAAACTTAGAAAGCTGCTTTTATTCCAGCCAAACAAAAGAAATGAGACTTTCTCCAGCAGAAAAACAATTATATACAAATTACTGTAAACATTTCATTGCTCTGTTAAACATAAAAAAAGAAATTCATAGGAGGGCTAATCATTTTGCCTTCGTGTGTATTCATACACACATGGATGTGTGCGTTTGTATAACAAAAGATTCAAAGTAAATCGGCACACTGCCACTTTAGCTCTCAAAACAATTTTTAATGTCAATATTACAACGTTTCGACCGACATGGTCTTCATCAGGTTTTGTTTTAGATTTTCTAGTTGTGCGCACATTTCTGTTGTTTTGTGCGTTTGTATAACAGCCAACAATGTAACTAAATTCAATGTCTTATTGCTGTATTTATTAATTAATTTGTTTTCTCCCTCACAGATGCGAAGTAAACAAGAACCAAAAAGCTCATATTCAGGGGTGAGACTGACTGTTTGTTGACAATATAGATTTTATATTCAAACATTATTGTTAATCTCTGTAAATAAATATTTAAATCTGTGTTATCTGTTGTGTTGTTTACATGTGGATCACTCTTTTAAAAAAATTAAGCAAGCACTTCAAACTTATTATTTGGTCAATTATCATTATTATATACACTATTTTGTGCTAAATATTAATTATTAACATACAATTTCTGAATATTTGAAATATTTGATACTGTCCAAACAGTCAAATGAACATTTACTCTACAATTAAACATTTAATACAAATAAAGTATGAATCTATTAATGCTAAGTTCCTAAAACCGCTAACAACTTTGAAGTGCTCTCATAATTTTTTTCCATCAATATGTTTACATAATATATATTTTTCCTAGAAAAACATTTTTAAATGTATTAAAAATAAATGATAAGAACTGCACAAAAAAAACAGTGTGCCATAAACACACATGACTTTTTAATAAGGTCCAGTAAACTCAGCAGCAGACCTTTATATTAATATAACTAATAACTATTATTATAAATATTAACATCCATCAATGAACACAAGCGTGAGCTCAACAGTACAAGCTTTTTTTTAATCAAATTGGTGTGTAAATGCTCTGCTATATGTTTTAATCTTTAAAATAATTGTTTTAGATACTCTTTGCTTCCACTTCACACTTACAAACGTCCTATTTTGAATGTGTGAAGTCCCATCTAAAAATGTGTGAGCATGAGCACGCAACCCTTTACATGATATCTGAACCCATATAAAGCACCCAAGAATGTTTCTAATGCTTAAAAGTGTCACTCTATAAATATAACGCAGCGACACACTGTTTGAACTTCAGCCAAATATGAGAAGCTGCAGCTCGTTCTGAATGAGTGTCATCTTTATTCTTTCAGCTTTTCTAATGTTTTTAATTGATCTGTTTGTTTACAGAAGAAAGATGCCGGTGAAGGGGTGTATGAGGTACGATTGTTTTGTTGTGGTTTTTAAATGCTCACTCTTTCTGTAAATTTGACCTTTTTGGTTTAAGTGTGAATATTCTGCATTTGTGCTTTAATTTACACGGTCCTCTTTACTGTGCATTTATACATTTATGCAAGTTAAACATCATCAAACTAAGATTTATTTTATATTGTATAAGATTTCATTGATACTTGTATATCAGGGTAATTATAGTAACGTAAAATTAGGTTTTTATAATGAAGCATAATAAAGTAATACTAATAAGTAATGAATGTTTGAAATTAAGCATATATTTAGATTATTATTTATCTACCTCTCTGTCTGTCTTGCTATCTGTATATCTGTGCATTAATAAAACAAACAAGTAAATACAAGATATATTAAACCATTATATATATAATATAATATAATTTTTTATTATTATATATGAGCCATTTGCGCACTGGTTAAAACTGAAATAACTGAGACTTAAAAAGTAACTTGACTAAAAACTTGCCATTAAAAATTAAAGTATTAAGTAGTTGTGTTAAATATAAAACGTATCGTTAATACTATAGATATAGTATAGATGATATATGCAGTTTCTATGTTTATGCGTCTGTATATATACAGTGCTCAGCATAATTGGGTACAGCCCATTTTGAAAATGAATATTTTTATCCATTTCAGTGAATATAGGTCATACATTTTGGTCCATTTGAACAAAACAGATTTATTAATATTGTTTTATATATAAATATATATGTACACTCACACACACACACATATATATAAAGTAATGTTTTATATGTAACGTTTTTCTTGATACTTGCTCTTTTTTTAATTATTATTTTGACTTAATATTATTATTCTGTTCATCTTTATTTCTATAGCACTTTTATAATGCAGAGTGTGTCAAAGCAGCTTAACCTAGAAGTTCTAGTAGATTGAAACTGTGTCAGTCCAGTTTTCAGAGTTGAAGTTTAGTTCAGTTCAGCGTGGTTTAAATTTCACTGCTGAAAGTCCAAACACTGAAGGGCAAATCTATCAATGCGCAGCTCCACAAGTCCCAATTTGGGCTACTAATTTTGGACTATTATCACAAGTTATTTAGTTAGATTAGTTCCAGATTTGGCTTCAGTACTGACTTATATAATGTATATGCACACATATAATATTGTAAAGCATTCTACAGAAAATATTACTTGTATATGATGAGCCCTTTATATGTATGCACTTAAAAAATTATTAAATTAAAAGACTATAACAGACTGTAACAATTGCAAAACCAAAACAAAGTAATGCATCAGAATTTTAGTAATGCTAAAATATTCCTATTATATGCATTGTGCATGTGTTTATCTACATAAATAAAATGGTACAAACATAACTATAAAGACCAGGGGTGCTCAATCCTGTTCCTGGAGATCTACCTTCCTGCAGATTTCAGTTGCTACCCATATCAAACACACCTGAACCAATTAATTAGGACCTGAACATCACTTGCTAATTACAGGCAGGTGTGTTTGATATGGGTAGCAACTGAAATCTGCAGGAAGGTGGATCTCCAGGAACAGGATTGAGCACCCCTGATATAGACTGCCTGTATGTCATCAAATTACTCATTTTAGAAAATCTAAATTACAAATCTATCTATCTATCTATCTATCTATCTATCTATCTATCTATCTATCTATCTATCTATCTATCTATCTATCTATCTATCTATCTATCTATCTATCTATCTATCTATCTATCTATCCATCCATCCATCCATCCATCCATCCATCCATCCATCCATCCATCCATCCATCCATCCATCCATCCATCCATCCATCCATCCATCCATCCATCCATCCATCCATCCATCCATCCATCCATCCATCCATCCATCCATCCATCCATCCATCTATCTATCCACACATTTATATCTAAAACTAATGATTTGTTGATGATATTCTTCCCACACATTTATAAAAAAGCTGCAAGTTAACAGAACTGTAAACTATACTCTCTTTGTCATCAAATTAATAATTGTATAAAAGCTAACAAATCTACAGAAATCTAATCTAAAAACTACAAGTTAATAAAAAACTACAAGTTTATAACAAAGACAAAGCAAAAAAGACTGCATTTAAAAACAACATTTTAAATATTAAATGTGTAACCAAAGACTACCAAAATATCCATCTGTCTATCTGCCTATCTTCCTATTTAATTCAATCCATGTCTATTACTATAGCGATTTTACAATGTCGATTGTGTCAAATCAGCTTAACATAGAAGTTCTAGTAAACTGAAACTGTGTCAGTCCAGTCTGTATTAATTTTCCACAGCACAAATGTGCAGTATATGCATTTATATCTACTGGATGCTAAAATACCAGCATTTAAAAAGCATTCCTATGTAATTCTTCATATTTTTTTCAGACATAAAGACATTTAACTCTAGTGTTAAAGTGGCCATAGTGTGGTGAAGTTCCATTAAATGTTGATGGCGTTAGTCAAAAGCACACGAAACGAGTGGTGTGGTTTATGTGAGTTTCTGATGAAATGACTCTCTGCCACATCCTCTCTTGTCTGTCCTTTCACACCTCAGGGGCTCAAACCTCATGAAACGGACACATACGAGACCATCAAGATGAAATCCGCCAAAAAATGAGACTCGCCACCAGAAGAAAAAAGCCACCATCATCTCAAAACATCATGTAAATAAGCTGTTGACCTTAAGAAAAGGGTTTAAAGAGATTGTTCCAAAATAATATAAATGTTTTATGAAAAATGTTGGAGTCATTGACTTTGGTAGCTGGAGACAAAAAACACCATGGAAGGCAATAGCTATGCTGTTCATCCAAAGATGCAAGTCAGAATTATGTACATAAATGAAATATTACATTAAAAAGTTGCGATTTAAGTATAGTTTGCGAACAAAATTGTCTGTTCTTGAAAACAGGTGGCAAATATTAAAGAAAAAAATTACATTTGATTTCCACACAATTCCTTCATGCTGTCTCAAAACAAATCAATAAGGTTAACTTAATTGGTTTTACAAATTTAAGTGGATTGAACAAAACAATTATTAATGATGGAATTTTACAATGACCAAAACAACACTTCAGATTATAGTGTAACAGTGTTATAATGTGGTCGGTCTGCTGATTTGTTTATTGATGCCGTTCCATTGTGCTCTTCTTTATCACATGATCTAGTTAAACAAAAATCACATGACTTTTTGGATGTCCATTATATAATTTATCACAGGGTATTCGGGGGATCTTAAAAAGTTTTAAAATGTCTTAAATCTCAAAAGCTAAATTTTAGGCCTTACAAAGTTTTAAATCTACTGGAATATTGTGTTGTAGGCCTTTTTTAACAGGTCTTAGTTTTTTCTTTGTTCATGTATTGCTACCCAATCATGGCCACTGAAACCCATACAATCACCAACAATCCATCTCAATAAAACTTTTAACTTTTTATTTAAAATAGCATGTAATTTTTTTCCTTACATTAACATTTGCTTAAAAGTTCTCCATTTGTTTACTGCTAGGGATACTGACCTGACCTATATATTTTCTTTATTATTAAATGACTATTATTGTAGACTGAAGTAATTGACAGCTCCTTTATGGTTTGTTCTATTCTTGGTAAGGGTTATAGGTTGGCCCACACGGAATCTGCACACGCAGAAATCTGCAAATCTTTAGCTCATCATGGAATTATTTACTTGTGTATATGTGTGTACATTTATATTTATTCAGTTTATAAATTAATTTTACCAATATTATTGACTAATATGAAAATGTTCATATGATTTATTTACAATACAGTTTGTAAAGCAATATTTCCTGTCTTTTAGTAGATATTATTATATGAAAAACTTGTTTTGTTTACCAAATAAGTGGATCTAATTTGATTTGCATTGTAAATAATAAATAACAAGGTATTGTTTTTGATTTCATATATTCATATTCATAAATTAAGTTTTTAATTATGATACTCCCAAAATCATTCTGCAGAAATCTGCAGATTCTTCACAAAATTCTGCGCAGAAAGCAAAAAATATCTGCATATTCTGTCTGGCCCTGGTTATAGGGTTTATAAATGGATATATTTGAAAATTACTTTTAAAAAATCAAACAAAACTATTAGTATTGTATTATTAAATATTTTAAATTTTGAATATCTTTTCTAATTGGGGTTTTTAAAAAAATCCTTAGCGTTTATCCCTGTATTAGTCTGAAATTTAATTCATGACGGTCTTAAAGTTTTCAATTTAACTTGGTGAAAGCTGCAGGAACCCTGTATTAAGTAAAAGTGTTTCCATATTAGCTCATAATTAGCTCAAGTTGATCCTACTTAATTGAGCGAATGTTTTTATGTGCATTTACAAAATGTATGCACATCTTGGTGTTTCCAGTGGTTTTCCAGTCCATTTCCATTTCTTAATGTGATGTTTCAAAATGCACATAAAAATAGATGGATGAAAACAGCTATTGGCTACCAGTTCTCAACATTCTTTAAAATATCTCCTTTTTGCGTTCAACAAAAGAGAATGATGGAAAAATGTATATATTTTTTGTGTGAACTCTTTATTAGTTTTATAACATAATAACAATGATAATCACATATGCTAAGCTTTTCAATTAACAAATCCTCATATTTTAATCAGTTTTATTCATTTAAATGATTGTGTTTGTTTGTTTTTGTCATTGTTGTTGATGAATGTATGTTTCTGTTGGCATTTTTTTAAAAGTGAGATGTTAACTATCACTCTGAGTGTCAGTATTTTCACTTCCTGTTTGGCTTCTAAAGCAACATGCCAGTCCGAGTCATTTCCTGTTTAAAGAGCACATGAGCTGGTCTGAAGCCGCGCGCCTCTGACCACAGGTGTGAGAGTGATGGTGGAAACACTGCCTTTCTTTCCATTCAGCTCTGAGACAAAAGCTGTTTGTTCTTTTTCATGAGAAAACAAACGTGTGTGTGTGTGTGTGTGTAGCACAATTATACAGCAGCGATTGTAAGAATTTACTTTAAGAGTTAAGCTAGGCTTTTATGAGAAGAGTTTTTTGGTATAACATTTTACAATAAGGTTCCATCAGTTACATAAAAAATGAATTATGAGAACTCCCATATTTATTCATTTTTTTATGTTAATGAAAATTGCCATTCATTCACTGTAAAAAGTGAAAACTTTAATTACTCTGTTTGTTACAATTGAATGAATTAAGTTTGACTAACTTAATTTGTGACAGTTTTCAGTAATAAACTAAGTTAGTTATTTTATTTATTTAAACTTTTATTTTACATTTATTTAAAAGAACAAATAATTTCCTTTCCTATATTATAATAATAATAGTAAAAATACATTTATTACAGTATAAATTATTTTCTTTTCATGTTACTAATAATACTCCTATTACAGTACAAATAATTTCCTTCCTGTCCTCTTCTTCCTAAAGTTGGAAAACATTAGCCTGTCTAGAGGTTCATCTAACTGGTTTTAAAAAAATTGGGACCCATTTAGGAACTATGTCCAGGAACACTTTTTATTGTCAAATACAGAGCAAGTCCTTGATGCAGCAAATTGATTCTTTTTCTTTCCTAAGTGCAAAGTAGAGTGTATTGTGTGATTGTACAATTGTAGTTTTTGTTAGGCCACATTATTATTTACCTTTTAATTTGTTGGTATGTTTCATTTGTTTCTTTTTTTTCATCATTGTATGTGCTTAAGTTAAAACTATCTATACTTTTTGAAATACAATTGTTTTGTTTTGTCTTTGTGTTTATTGTAATTTGCCATAAAATATAAAAAAAATAAAATGGTTTTTAAAAAACGAATAATTTCCTTCCCATAATAAAAATACTATTATTGCGGTACTTATAATTTCTATGGTAAAATACAGTGCTCAGCATAGTTGTGTACACCCCGTTTTGAAAATGAATGTTTTTCTCCATTTTCCAGTGAATATAGGCAATGTATTTTAGTGCATTTAAAGAAAACAGATTTATTAAACAGATATATTAATAAAAGTAATGTTTTAGTCACCAAACATATTTAGAAATTGAGAGATAATACAATTAAATTCAAGCAAAATATTGCAAATAAATTACAGCCAATTTCTACTAATTTTTTTTGCTTCTCCTGATTTTTCCTCTTTTTTAAAAATTTGTATTACATATTTTTCTTAGACATGTAAATTTATGTGTACTAGTTTTTAGACAGTTATCGTAAGTTATTTTGTTAAATTAGCTCCAGATTTGGCTTCAGTACTGACTAGTCTAATGTATATGCACAAATTTAATATTGTATAGCTTCCTATTAAAAATATGAATTTAAAAGAGAGATTTGTGAGGGGTGTACTTATATATGCTGAGTACTGTAATAAAAATAATTATTATCTATTTTGTGGCAAGTAGATGTATTAATATTAATTACTAATAATAGCGAACAACTGGCCATAAATAAATGGCGAAAACTTGTTGGTGTATACACCTAAAAGAACTAACTTATTTTATTACTGAAAACTGTCATAAACTAAGTTTGTTTACCTTAATTCATTTAACTGTAACAAGTCAAAGAAATTAGTTTAAATTTTACACTGTAAAAAATGCAGCGTTCCACACAATTCATTCAGTTTGACCTAACACTAATCGATTAAGTTAACTTACTTTACGTTTAGGTGGATTGAACATAAAACAATTAAGTTGTCCCAAAAAATCTAAATATTTATGTTGTTTAAGCTCATTTTGCATAAGTAGTTTAAACAAGCAGTAATTTTTAAAGTATTTGTTTTGGTGTACGCTTTAAAAAATGCTGAGTTGCACAAAAATCCTTCATGTTGTCCCAACACAAATCGATTTAGTTAATTTCATCATTTTGCAAAATTTAGGTGGATTGAACATAAAACAATTAAGTTGTCAAAAAATCCTTTAAAATTGTGTTGTTTCAATTCATTTTTAATAAGCAGTTTAAACAAGCAGCAAGTAAATGTTAAGTGTAGTCGCTGTTACTCAGAGCGCACAATTTTGGGTTTAATAATGAAATTTCAAAGTAACATTAGCTATGATTAATAAATTCTGTAGCACTTTAGTTTATCATAATTCACACTATTAGCAACTTGCTTATTATCTGCCTGTTATTAAGATATTAACTGTGTTTTAGTACTTAAAATATAAGATTTTATACTAGCTAGAATTATCCCTAATTCTACACAATTTCTATCAAACCAGACTACTGGCTTACTAACTGTTAATAAGCCTACTAATTGTTTATCGAGCTTACAGCTTTAGTTAATGATTTGTTAATTGTGTGAATTGTACATTGTGAAATAAAGTGTTACCGTAAACTTAGTACAGGTATTGTTCATTCTTAGTTCATGTTAGTAAATACATTAACTAATGGAGCCTTATTGTAAAGTGTAGCCAGTTTCCCTTTTAATTTATACTAAAACTTTGTGTGGTTTGTGAGGTTGTGATGATACCTTTTATGCTCAATTTTTAATGTTGTCATTCTGAAATGATCTCATTTCATCTTCAAAATTTATTATAAGTACTTTATTTTCTTTGTAATGCTGTGGTTTAGATATTAAAAAAACAAAAAACAAATAAGGTTTTTTCAGTTCTTTTTTTTTTTCTTAAAAAAAAACTATCCTACAAATTCTGTCACCATTTACTCACCTTTCACTTAGCACAAACATGTTTGAGTTTCCTTCTTCTGTTGAACACAAAAAGCACATTTTTAAACCTGTTGGAAACTGGTAGCCATTGATTTGTATAGTATTTGTTTTTCCTATGCTATCAATGGTAACCAGTTT